AGAGAGAGAGAGAGAGAGAGGAGATGCTCTGAAATATCTTCAAAATGCTTGTGGAAAAAAGTCAATTTCAAACTATTGTAATTCCATTGATCAGAAGAAGCTCATAATTGTAGTGCTTAGTAATAATAATTTACAATCCACATTTGAAAACTACAAATAAACATAAACTGGAAACAAACAGAAACCACTCCCACGAAAGCAGATACTGAGACCCTCGCTGGCAGTGGCCAGTGGCCGGCCTGGGTGACACTGTGAGCCCTGGAGGGAGAGCAGTCCCACCACACCTCCCCTCCGTCTGCTCCCACAGAGCAGCCTGGCTGCTGTCCCAGGGCAGAAGGACAGGGACACTGAAGCAGGAAAGTTAAAACAGGGCCAGACAGGGGAGGCAATGGGCAGCCAGCCTGTAACTAACAAGCCATTATCTCCCCCAGCCAAGGACACAGCAAGTGGTTAAAAACCTTCCTGAGGGGAGGCTGCAGAGGGAGGGGAGGGGGAAAGGAAAAGGGGCCATTTCACCCCTAGGCAGAGAAGCCTGCAGCCTCAGGCTTGGCAAGATAAGGTTGCCAGGGGTTTCTCATGAATTCTGGGAAGACCACACAAAGTAATAGTAAAAGGGACCTTGAGAATTCATCTGCACCCAAAGTCAGCAGGAGTTTTATAGACAGGAGGGTGTGTAACGCCTCGAACCCACACCCCACCTGCTCTTCAGATGAGCTGAGAGCCCATCTGTGCTTCCTAAGCCAGACGCATAGGTTTGTTGGCTTTGCTTTTTCAATAAAGGCACATGTCTAACTGCTTTAACAACAGGCTTTCACAGTGCACTCAAGGTCTCTGTATACATCCATTTATATGAGAAGACAAGGATGAGGTTGGGGCAGCTCTCCCGCTGGCTCAGGGGGCGCTCCTGTCTGGTATCACCTCTCTGGTGTCCCTGAGAGGTGCCTCTAACAGCCTCGGCTAGGTTTTCTTTTTAAATATAAGTCAGATCCCACCCCTCCCCTTAAAAGCCATTGTACCAGGAGTGAGATCTAGACTTCTCACCATAACCACACAAATACATTTTAATGAACCTAACTGTGGTGCCCTTTCAGTCCTTAATTTTGTCCAAGTCAATTATAACATGGACACTAAATAACTCTCTCTGCTCAGGGCCCTACAGGAGCAGGGAGAGCTGTGACTGCGACTAGTGAGGTGACCCTGTGCTGGAACGTGCCTCTCACCCAGCAGGCCCATTCATAGCAATCAGTCTACCTTCAGGTGTTCTGGTTGTTCCATTATATTTCACCTATTACATGCTTTTATTCCTATTTGATGAAGCCTCTCTTAATTACCATCTAACGTAAATGCAGGCCAGGATGAGAAATGGCAGTCTGGTTTCTGGGGAAAGACCCCGTGTTTTCTTCCATGGTCCACAGGGAGCTGCGGTTCCCACAGCAGGAAGGTCCCCAGTCCCCGCCCAGCCAGCCTGCTTCCTGATGACTCGGTCTACAGGCAGGCGGTAAAAGCCCACTTGCAGTAAGAAAGAGTGAAGCTCCGACACGCTACAACACGGGCGAGCCAGACACCGAGGGTCCCATGTTGTACGTCCACACAGGACAACCCCGGGGACGCGAAGCAGACCAGAGGCTGCGGGGCCGGGTGGAGACGCGCGCTCCCTGCGGGTGATGTGCGCTGTGAAATCAGATGGACGGACGGACGGCCCCAGCTCTGCGGCCCACTGCTGGTGTCCCTGAGGACTACTGGGGGATGTGCATTATACCTCAATACAGCGGGTTCCCGAACTGCTTTCTCAGGAAGTCAATCAACATGACGTGCTACGTTCTAAGGCAAACGCTAAGCTGGGCTCCAGGAAGCCTTCAGGCCGGGGAACGGCCCGGTACTTTACCGCGAGCGTGAAGGCGCTTTCTACCTGCTCGTCCTGGCCGAAGGCTCTCCGTTCTCCCGTACGGCATCACCATTCTGCTGTATTTCTACTGAACAACGAGAAAGAGAGAAATTGGATTGGATACCTCCTGCTGATGTCTCCCTGAATTCTGCAGACACACAGGAGCTTACTTCAGGCCGGGGAACGGCCCGGTACTTTACCGCGAGCGTGAAGGCGCTTTCTACCTGCTCGTCCTGGCCGAAGGCTCTCCGTTCTCCCGTACGGCATCACCATTCTGCTGTATTTCTACTGAACAACGAGAAAGAGAGAAATTGGATTGGATACCTCCTGCTGATGTCTCCCTGAATTCTGCAGACACACAGGAGCTTACTGGTTGGGGCCGAGCTGCAGCTCGTCAGGTTTTCTGGCTCAATCGCCAATCCGTCCAGCACCACCGTTAACTCGCCAGTTTGCACTGCGCCGTTCTTGTTCTCCAAGGAAAGTTTTAATT